AAGTTAGAATTATTTCTGGTTGCAGTGAGGAAGAACATACACCTCGAGGAAGAATGGGCTGCCTCAGTAAGAGGGTGTTAAGAAAGAACCTATTATAGAATCTGGGCTTTGTGGTGATTTGGGGGAGTGTCTAAGGAAGCAGGAATATGCTCTCAGTTGGATGCAGTCAGAAAGCTGGGGGAAGTCTATGATTGTGTCAGCAGGGAAATGTATCTGAGTCACACGACTTCAAAATAGTAATACCGGTGGTGAATCCCTAGGGGTCTGCAGCAACCTCAATTCTGGCCTCCTCAGAATAAAGTATTCAACTGAGGGGCAGAAGGCAGAAGGAGAGACCCAGGAAAGTTTTACAGCACGAGTAAAAGTTTATTAAAAAGCATTAGAGCAGGAACGAAACGAAGGAAAGTATGCTTGGAAGACAGCCAAACAGGCAACTTGAAAAGCAAGTACGCAGCTTGATATTTTGACTTGCAGTTTGTTTTTGTTTTGAGACAGAGTCTTGCTCTGTTGCCTAGGCTGGAGTGTAGTAGCGCCATCTTGGCTTGCAACCTCCACCTCCCAGGTTCAAGTGATTCTCATGCTTCAGCCTCCTGATTTTTTTTTTTTTTTTTGTATTTTTAGTAGAGACAGGATTTCACCATGTTGGCCAGTCTGGTCTCAAACTCCTGACCTCAGATGATCCACCCGTCTCGGCCTCCCAAAGTGCTGGGATTACAGGCATGAGCCACCGTGTGCCTGGCCTTGGGGTTTTATACATTGGCTTACTTCTGGGGTCTTGCATTACTTCTCCCCTTATTGTTCCCTTGGGGTTGGCTGTCCGTGTGGGGAAAAGAAAGAGAGATCAGACTGTTACCGTGTCTATATAGAAGGAAGTAGACATACGAGACTCCATTTTGTTCTGTATTTGAGATGCTGTTAATCTGTGACCCTACCCCTAACCCTGTCCTTGCAAGAGACATGTGCTGTGGTGACTCAAGGTTTAATGGATTTGGGGCTGTGCAGGGTGTGCTTTGTTAAACAAGTGCCTGAAAGCAGCATGCTTGTGAAAAGTCATCACCATTCTCTTAATCTCAAGTAACCAGGGACACGTACACTGCCAAAGGTTGCAGGGACCTCTGCCTAGGAAAGCTAGGTATTGTCCAAGGTTTCTCCCCATGTGATAGTCTGAAATATGGCCTCGTGGGAAGGGAAAGACCTGATCGTCCCCGAGCCTGACACCCATGAAGGGTCTGTGCTGAGGAGGATTAGTATAAGAGGAAAGAAGGCCTCTGGGCAGTTGAGATAGAGAACAGCGTCTGTCTCCTGCCCATCCCTGGGCAATGGAATGTCTGGGTATAAAACCCGATTGTATGTTCTATTTACTGAGATGGGAGAAAACCGCCTTAGGGCTGAAGGTGGGACTTGCTAGTGGCAATGCTGCTCTTTATGCACTAAAAAGATTTATGGAGATGTTTGCATATGCATATCAAGGCACAGCACTTTTCCTTAAACTTATTCATGTCACAGAGAACTTTATTCATATGTCTTTCTGCTGACCTACTCTGTACTATGATCCTACTATCCTGCCACTTCTGGTTTTCCGAGATGGTAAAGATAATGATCAATAAATACTGAGGGAACTCGGAGACCGGTGCCGGCGCGGGTCCTCTGTGTGCTGAGCGCCCGTCCCCTGGGCCCACTTTTTCTTTTTTTTTTTTTAATTAATTTATTATTATTATACTTTAAGTTGTAGGGTACATGTGCATAACGTGCAGGTTTGTTACATATGTATACTTGTGCCATGTTGGTGTGCTGCACCCATCAACTCGTCATTTACATCAGGTATAACTCCCAATGCAATCCCTCCCCCCTCCCCCTCCCCATGATAGGCCCCGGTGTGTGATGTTCAATGAGATCACTTGGACTCAGGAAGGGCCCACTTTTTCTTTCTCCATACTTTGTCTCTGTGTCTCATTTCTTTTCTCAAGTATCTCGTTCCACCTAAGGAGAAACGCCCACAGGTGTGGAGGGGCAGGCCACTCCTTCAGTCCACATGCGCATGCTTGAGCCTACTCACCCCACTCCTGAGATCTTATCGGGAAGCTGCTGATCACTCGTTTCAGGTGTTTTCTATCAGGAGATGGCTGGTCCCTGGTGCCAGCTGTGATCAATTATTATTTTAGTGAGACCGTTAACAACCGCTTGACCATCACCTGAAGGTTGCCTGACATTCCTGATATGTGCGTGTGGTGGGGAGCCCTCTCCTGCCCTGCTCATTCCTGACTAGCTACCCACTATAACAAGATTGAGATCTTGGGCATCTCAGTCTTACCTATAGAGAAGAGACTAGCATGAAAATAAAGCTACAATTTGTAAAGTAGTAGTAGTTATTTGTTTGGGCCAAGAAAAAGATGTTGTGTTTTGCAGTCAGTAAAGTGAGCTTTTTGCCTGTGCTTAGAAAAGCTTAATGAAGTGGTTTGCTTTGTATCATTGTATCATGATTTCAGAGTGACCTTGCCTGCGGTTGCTATTTTGTGAGATTATTTCTATCCAATAGGAGAATAACAAGGCCTAGCTGTGAGTGCCGGTCAGCTTCTGAATGTTAAGGACCCTTTCCTTTTTCTTTCTTACACGTTATTTTTATAATAAATTTTTCATTCAAATGTATACATAAAGTACATAAATTATAAATGAATTTTCATAAAGTGAACAAACACATCAGTGTACTAATGTCTGGCGTAAGAAACAACATATCCAAATACCAGAAGTCCCCTTCATGTGCCCTTCAGATCATTAACCCTAAGGTTACCCACTATCCTGAGTCTAACACCACAGATTAGTTTTGCCTGATTTTGAATTTTTTATGACTAGAAACCTATAATATGTATTGTTTTGAGTATAGGCCTCCTGAATTCAACATTTATGTTTGAGATTCATTCATGTTGTTCTGTGTCATTGTAATTAGTTCATTCTCACTGATGAATAGTGTTCCATCATGTAAACACACCACAGTTTATCCATTCTAGTGTTGATGGACATTCGGGAGCTTCCAGTTTGGAGCAATTAGGAATTAGTTCATAGTGCTGCTATGAATGTTCTCCTACATGTCTTTGGTGAATGCCATGTATATATTCCCACTGGGGAGGAGTCGAATTGCTATATGTTTATGCTCAGCTTTAGTAGATAGTGCCAAACATTTTTCCACAATGATTGTATCAATTTATGCTCACACCAGCAGTGTAAAACAATTCTGGTTGCTCTCTTTCCCAAGTTATGTAAACTCTTCCAGAATACAGAAAAAGATGAAAACTTCTAAATGCATTCTACAAGGATTCTATTACCTTGACACAAAATTGAGAAAGTATAGAAAAAGAAAACTATAGGTTAATCACATCTTTAAATGGAGATGTAAAGATAATGAAAATATTAGCAAACTGAACCTACAAATAACTTTTTTAAAAAGTTCCAGGAACTGAAGTAATGCTCAAAACTAGGAGGTTTTGAATTAATGCATATTAATATATCAATGTTAGCTAGTATATAATTCATTAAATCCCAAATTTATTTTTGTTAATATAATTCATTAAAATAGAAACTGTTAATATGATTCCTTTCGAAGACTAGAGAAAAGCAGATAATCTCCAAAGATGCCAAAAAAGCAGTTAATATTCAATTCTCACTTTAATAAAAATTAGAGAAACAGAAAGATATAAAAGTCCATGTTATCTCTCCTTCAGTAGTCAACTCTTCGGGTTCATCATCCATTATTACCCCATATGCAGGCTAACTTCTTTTTCCTTGCTCCTCCATTTGCTAGCTGTGCACCCTTTGACAAGTTAACCACTCTGTGCTGATTTCCTATGTCTAAAATAAGAGTACCTACCTTACGTTGTAAGGATCAAGTCCTCAATACATTATATACATTATTCTTAATCACTTTTTAATCGCAAGAATTTGGTCATTAAACATCCCTTTGACTGGATTGTGAGCACCTTGACAGCAGGGACTAAATGTCATGCACGTCTGTGTGAAGAGACCACCAAACAGGCTTTGTATGAGCAACATGGCTGTTTATTTCACCTGGGTTCAGGTGGGCTGAGTCCGAAAAGAGAGTCAGCGAAGGGAGATAAGTGTGGGGCCGTTTTATAGGATTTGGGTAGGTAAAGGAAAATTCCAGTCAAAGGGGGGTTGTTCTCTGGCGGGCAGGAGTGGGAGTCACAAGGTGCTCAGTGGGGGAACTTTTTGAGCCAGGGTGAGCCAGGCACAAGATAATGTCATCGCTTAAGGCAAGGACCGGCCATTTTCACTTCTTTTGTGGTGGAATGTCATCAGCTAAGGCGGGACAGGGCATTTTCACTTTTGTGATTCTTCAGTTACTTCAGGCCATCTGGGCGTATACGTGCAAGTCACAGGGGATGCGGACACGCAAGTCACAGGGGATGTGATGGCTTGGCTTGGGCTCAGAGGCCTGACACTAACAGCGGAATTTTCTGCAGACTTAAGTAATGTTTGTTGAATCCTGATGCAAGCTTTCTCACCTTCCTGTGTTCTCTCATAGATTCCTCATCCTGTCCAGCCATCTGTCCACCCGTCACAAGCCTAACCCCAGTCAATAACCACTCTTTATAACACTTCCTTTGTACCTTTATAGTGCTTATTACATTGTTTGAGTACTAAATGAATATATAGTGCGTTGTGTTTAACATTTAGGACATAACAACTCATAACGTTATAGTTAAAAAAAATAGTTTTGTACGTTCCTCTGGGCGTACTTCCGGTTTCACTTCATAGTGTCCACAAACCACAGTGTCAAATGCACAGCTCGGCATGAGAACTGGGCTAAGGCGCGCCCCGCATCCCCCAAACCCTATTATCAGGGCCAGGAGAGGTGCGGAATCCGAAAGTGTGGAGAGCGAAACACGCAGAGTGATTCCACTCATCAGTCACACGGTAGGGCGGGACAGCCCCATCTTGCAGTTTTCCATTATTCAACACAGAGCCCAACGCGCAGGCAACAGATCCACGCGCAGGGCTGTTTGGGGGCGCTTGAGGCGCACAATCCGGGGCAGGCGGAACCTTAGTCCTCAGCCCCGCGTTTCCCGCGACTCCGCTCTCACCGCTACACTACCACACAGACGGCCTCCTTCCCCCACCCCCGGGGGCCCGTGCCAGTGCCGGGCTCCGGAGTTCGGGACTGCTAATTTCAGCGAAACGATTAAGAGACGCCCAAACAGCGGACAACACTTTCTCTCCTCCGGCAGGGAAAGGCGTCCAGCGTAGCATCTCCCACGCTTCCCCGCCGGCGCAGAGCACGCCCCACAAAAGCTCACGCCGCCGGCACGCATGCCGCCCCGCCCCCACGGCCCGTAGCCAGCCGCGCCCCGCGCTCGCCCGCCCCCGCCTCCCTGGCCCTCGACCCTCGTTCCGTTGGAGGGGCGTCAGGCGAGCACTAGCGAGCTGTTGGCCGGAGGGAAGCCGGAGGAGACCGGGTCGACTGGGCAGAGCGGCAGAGGGTCGGGAAGCCTGCTCTGCACGCCCAGGGAGTAGAAGCGGGCAGGGAGCAGGGTTACGTGAGGGAGCGCGCCCCGACTGAGCTTGGGTCCGACTGGAGCTCAGGCTCGGGACCCAGACTGGTGGGCCAGGCCTCCAAGCCGGCCTTACACCCGATCCAAGGAGGACACACCGGACGCAGAGGGACGGAGCGAGCAAGGAGACATGGCTTCATCATTCCTGCCCGCGGGGGCCACCACCGGCGACAGCGGTGGAGAGCTGAGCTCAGGGGACGACTCCGGGGAGGTGGAGTTCCCCCATAGCCCTGAGATCGAGGAGTCCAGTTGCCTGGCCGAGCTGTTTGAGAAGGCTGCCGCGCACCTGCAAGGCCTAATTCAGGTGGCCAGCAGGGAGCAGCTTCTGTATCTGTATGCCAGGTACAAACAGGTAAAGTAGCAGGGAAAGGGTGGATGGGGGAGAAAGATACGGAGCATCATCCTGAACCTGGAAAAGATGTTTGCTTTCCTAGGAGTGATATTTATTTAGCTGGGCACTGGACACTGTTTTTCTGTTTTTTTTTCTCTGACCTATGCAGTGATCTCGCATTTTACCAGCTTAAGAACCTTTACAAAATGAGGATAAAATAAGATTTATCATTCATTTACTCTTTCCAAAGGGCCACATGGAAGTAAACATGGTAAAGTTAATTAAACTATATTGAGATCCAAGAATATAATAGGATTGTAATAATGTGATTCAGGGCTGGGCGCAATGGCTCACGCCTGTAATCCCACCACTTTGGGAGGCCGAGGCGGGCGGATCACCTGATGTCAGGAGTTCGAGACCAGCCTGACCAACATGGAGAAACCCCGTCTCTACTAAATTACCCAGGCGTGGTGGCGCATGCCTCTAATCCCAGCTACTCAGGAGGCTGAGGCAGGAGAATCGCTTGAACCGGGGAGGCGGAGGTTGCGGTGAGCCGAGATTGCGCGCCATTGCACTCCAGCCTGGGCAACGAGAGCGAAACTCCGCCTCAAAATAATAATAATAATAATAATAATAATTGATGCAATGCGAAATACAGTATTGCAACTTTTGTGATTTTTATAAAATCCTCAATATCTTTGACTTATGTTTTCGTTGAATATGTCTCTTTTCCGTTTGATACAATCTAAAAATTTGAGAGCTATGAACACCAGATGAAATAATGCCCTTCTTTTACAGAAAAGGAAACTGAAGGCCACAGAGAGTAGGCAGCTTGCCTAGGGTCATACAGATATATCAGTCAGAACTGGATTGTAGCTCCTGACTCAGTCTAAGGCTGTGAACTTTACCTGGAAATAGGGAGATGTATAGACATGTTAATTTATAATTCAGGTTGACATTGGTTAGGTACCAGAAGGGAAATAATTGCTTTGTCATAAGCAACATATATTTGTTCAGCAGCTTTTATGTGCGAGACACTTGGATATAATGCCTGCAGAGAAGGAAAAACATGACACTCACAATTTTTTTTTTTTTTTTTTTTTTTTTCCACAGAGAGTTTGGGTTTTGCCACATTTCCCAGGCTGGTCTTGAACTCCTGAGCTCAGGCGATCCACCTGCCCAAAGTGCTGGGATTACAGGCATGAGCCATTTTGCTGGCTGACACTTGTTTTTTTTTTTTTTTTTTTTTTTTTTTTTTTTTTTTTGAGACGGAGTTTCGTTTCTGTTGCCCAAGCTGGAGTGCAGTGGCTAGATCTTGGTTCACTCGGCCTCCCGGATTCAAGCAATTCTCCTGTCCCAGCCTCCCAAGTAGCTGGGATTACAGGTGCCCGCCACCATGCCCGGCTAATTTTTTGTGTATTTAGAAGAGACAGGGTTTCATTATGTTCACCAGGCTGGTCTTGAACTCCTGACCTCAGGTGATCTGCCTGCCTTGGCTTCCTAAAGTACTGGGATTACAGGCGTGAGCCACCGTGCCCGGCCGACATTTGCTTTTGAGAGACTTACAAAGTACTTGAGGAATCTAGGTTTGAACACACCTGAAAAATTGCTGACAAGAGTTAAATAACAGTTCAGGAAAATTACAGCTCTTTGGAACACTGGAGGAAATGAAATTCTGGATAATAGCCTATTTTGTTTTATTAAAAATGTATAACCTTTTTTTCTTTTTGCCTCTTGACATAGTTACATATTTTCCCCTGTATTTGTTAAAGGAAAAATAAGTTGGGGGAGAGGCCTGCTGTATTCCTTTTTTTTTTTTAACTAAAAAAATTTTTTTAAAGATGGGATCTTGTTCCGTTGCTCGGGCTGGAGGGCGGTTACACACTCATAGCTCACTGCAGCCTTGAGCTTCTGGCTTCGAGCGGATCCTCCTGCTTAAGCCTCCCGAAGTACTATTATTACAGACATGATCCCCCATGCCCAGCCCCACTGTGTTCTTAAACTGGATATACTGAGTAGAGATGAACCTTGTTTTGAAGGTTGATGTTCATTATTATGAATGTCAGTTAAACATTGACCTGAGAGATAAAGCTGTAGGAACAAACGGTATAAATTATAGTGTTGAATGAAAATTACCTCCAAGTTGGACTTGGAATTAGCTTTCTGGGAAAAGTTCTTGATATGTGTTTTCTCTTTGGTCATTTATTATACTTTGCCCTAATAACATTAGAGTGAAACTTTTGATTATTTAACAAATACTTATCGAGAATCGTATTAGGACCTGTAATATGTCTGATGATTCTCTGGGCAGTATGAGACTAACTTTCCCCAAATTCCCTAGAAAATATTCTTTTTTCTTCTAGGACGTATCTTTATTTATTGATATCGGTGTCGTCATTATTCAGTATTCTATTTCTAAGTCATGAGTGAACTGTAGTAACCTATCAACTTGGGAACCATTCTGTCTCAGGTATACTCACTTCATTCAGATAATATGAAGGAGGAATGTGCCTCATCCTTTTAAGAACTTGACTTGCCGGGCGCGGTGGCTCACGCCTGTGATCCCAGCACTTTGGGAGGCCGAGGCAGGCGGATCACAAGGTCAGGAGATCGAGACCACGGTGAAACCCCGTCTCTACTAAAAATACAAAAAATTAGCCGGGCGCGGTTGTGGGCGCCTGTAGTCCCAGCTACTCGGGAGGCTGAGGCAGGAGAATGGCGTGAACCCGGGAGGCGGAGCTTGCAGTGAGCCGAGATCGCGCCACTGCACTCCAGCCTGGGCGACAGAGCGAGACTCCGTCTCAAAAAAAAAAAAAAAAAAAAAAAGAACTTGACTTTAGGGTGTTCAGAGATATTCTGTATCTGCAAATAAAATTCTGCATTATTAGGAAATAATATGCTTGCTTAGATACGACACTGGGCCACAGTTTTCATCAGTCTCCTAAATATTTTATTTTTGACAAAATTCTGAGATAACATTAAGAATAGCATCTTTGATAGAATAATAAAGTTGAAAGTCCAATATCATTTCTGCATATTGTATCAAAATTTATCATAAAATAACATTTTGTATTCAGAATAGCAGCCTATTTTGTAGGCTGGATGAGGTTGTTGGCAGGAAGATAATAAATAAGCTAAGATATGAACCTTATTTTCTCAGGGAGAACTCTAAATTTACTTAGCGTCATAGCTTTATTAGTCTCAGATAAGCCTATGGCTTCAAAATAATCTTTCAATAAAGTTTCAACAAAATCAAATGAATGAACAGTTTTTTGGTCGCTCTCTACATCAGCCTACACTCTCCCTCCTAAAGATAGCTAATTGACAGCTGTGAAAACTGGAGAGTAATGAAAATTTGTGAATTCCTGTTGACTTCATGAGATACTATTTAATAATACTTTTTTTTTTTTTTTTTTTGAGACGGAGTTTTGGTCTGTCATCCAGGCTGGAATGCAGTGGCGTGATCTGGGCTCACTGCAACTTCTGCCTCCTAGATTCAAATGATTCTTTTGCCTCAGCTTCCTGGGTAGCTGTGATTACAGGTGTCTCTCACCGCGCCTGACTAATTTTTGTATTTTTAGTAGAGATGGGGTTTCACCATGTTGGCCATGGTTGACCAGGCTGGTCTCCTGATCTCAGGTGATCCGCCCGCCTAGGCCTTCCAAAGTGCTAATATTACAGACATGAACCGCCGTGCCTTAATACTACTTTATTAAATATTAACCCTTGAGTCAAGTCTTAAATTTTGTGTGATGAGATGGGAAGTACACACAAAGTACTTCTGCTGCATACTGAATTATGTTAACTATTTTGAGGAAAAGCACTTGTGTAATTTCTGAGTTGCAAAATGAACTATATACTTTTTTCCATTTTTACTTAACAGAACAACTCACAGATAATTATACCTACTCAAATTTGGGTATTTGGCAGATAGTTTCTTGAAAATGAATGAAATAAGCCTGTCACTTCAAGGAAAACAACTCAAAGTATTTGTTGCCAGTAATAACATTTGAGCTTTCAAGTGAAAATGAGAAGTTTGGAAAATCTGTATCTGCCACCGTGAGCTTGACAGCTTCCCAGTACTTAAAAACTTTTTTTGATGAGATAAGTGGTGACAGTCATGAATGTGAACGTTTGCTATTATATCATGAAATGTGTCAACATTTGAAAAGTCTGTGTAACTCAGTAAACCATATTTTCTAAATATTTCATGGAATGATGTTACAAATCATGTGTTGATAAAAGATGCCTTTCAAAGTGCAAGTCAGACCAATGGATTTCAGTGTTAACAGTATGAAAAATTCATTGATAGGAGTTCAGATTCCTCGTTGCAACTGACCTGAAACTACCATCTGTTAGGTTTTGGCATAGTATCAAAGAAGAATATCTACAACTATCTCAAAATGCTGCTAAAATACTTCTCTCTTTTCTAACAACATATCTGCGTGAAGCTGAATTTTCTTCATATACTTCAACCAAAACAACATATTGCAGTAGATTGGATGCAGCAGTAGATATGCAAATGCAACTGGCTTCTAAGCGAGACATTAAAAAAATTAAGAAATGTAAAACAGTGCTACTTTTCTCACTAATTTTTTTAGAATATGTAGTTATTTTGCATAAAATGTTATTTATGTTAACATCTAATGGATTTATTATTTTTAAATGAGCTAATACACATTTTTTAAATGTCCCAGTTTTAATTTCTAATATGGTAAATATCGATAGATATAACTCATATAAATGATGGCTCTTTAGGATCTTGCGAATATAAAGGGATTATAAGACTAAAAAATTTGAAAACTGCTGCCTTAAGTTCCTTTTTCATGGTCAGAGGTGGCTTACCATCACCACATGTATATCATATCCAGGGCAAAGGGAAAGGGGAAGACAAACTCCTTTTCTTTTTAAGGAAGGTATTTGTATCACTCTTCCACACATCCAGTCCCCAGAACCTAGGCAGAAGTTGGATGGCCATGTGTAATGTTTAGATCATGTGTCCAGCTGAGACTTCTGTTACTACAGGAGAAATGGAGGAGAACTATTGGCATTTGTTTCTGCCACTGGATGGTGTCTGGATAAAACCAAAAATAGTTATAACTGCTATTTTTATGATGTCTTGAAGTTTGTATAATTTATCTCATTTAATATTTCTAACCGTCTGGTAGTTCATGTGATTTTAGAGAGTCCAGAATTGAATCCCAGACTCTATTTATCATTTAAGACAGAATAATGTAGTAAAGGGGTATTGAACTTTGGAGTCAAACACTCTTGGATTTAAATCCAGACTACTAATTAAAGACTATACTAATGTGTGAACTGAGACAAGCCTCCTGAGCTTCTCTATCTTCATTTATAAAATGAGTTTGTAATGGCATACCTAGCAGGATTATTTTTTGGCCCATTCGAGATAAAATATGTGAAGTGTTTGGTCTATGGTGATTGTTCAAGAAATGTGGCTCCTTCTTACCCTTTCTTCTCTCTGTTCCATCATAACAGGGCTGCTTCTATGTAAGTATACATTTTAATAACAGCAGAGGGCCATGCGATTAATTGCTAAGCAAATGATAGAGGTGGTAATTGTTATGAATTCAGAGGTAGATGAGATCATTGTAGACTGAAAGAGTTCTTAGAATCTGAAATTTGAGTAGAACTGGAAGGTCGTGCAGCATCTTAAAAGCTGAGGAAAGAAGAAAAGGTGTTTCAGGTGAGTGGAGTGACAAGCAAAACACTGAACTAGGAATCCCTAAGGCAGTCAGTAGATCATTCTGGTTAGATGAAGGCATCAGTTAGATTTTACCAGAATTCAAGTGTGGAAGAGTAATGGGAGATAGTGGGAAAATCCCTGAGAAGTAGATAGGTGCTGTGGATGAGTTAAGAACAGTTACAGGCTCTATTCTAATAGAAAGATGAGACTTGGCCGGGCGCGGTGGCTCAAGCCTGTAATCCCAGCACTTTGGGAGGCCGAGACGGGCGGATCACGAGGTCAGGAGATCGAGACCATCCTGGCTAACACAGTGAAACCCCGTCTCTACTAAAAATACAAAAACTTAGCCGGGCGAGGTGGCAGGCGCCTGTAGTCCCAGCTACTCGGGAGGCTGAGGCAGGAGAATGGCGTGAACCCGGGAGGCGGAGCTTGCAGTGAGCTGAGATCCGGCCACTGCACTCCAGCCTGGGTGACAGAGCGAGACTCCGTCTCAAAAAAAAAAAAAAAAAAGAAAGATGAGACTTTACTCAAAACTTTCTAACACATGGTAGAAAAAGTGAAAAGTACCATAAAAGATATATAGAGTAAATGCTCTAAGGAAGGAAGATGACTTCTGGCAGTGGGAATCAGGGCCTGTATAGTGAATTCTGCACTTGTTTATGCTTATTCTCAATGAAAATATTCACTGTACAGTTTAACTATAAATGTCATTTGCGGATTAAAATTAAGTATCGACCACAAACAAAAGATGATAAGACTGCTGTAGAAAAATAGAATTGTATTGTTGAGAACCCCTGAAATTTTTCTGCATGGCTTTTGGCATCCAAATTTATATTGATGAGTTTCTTAATAGGGCATTTTAAAAGTAGTACACTTTTTCCCCTGAAATTTTGGAGAGATAAAATGCTAATAGAGTTACGAGAATCAGCATGAAGAAATAGTGTTATGAATTCTGATAAATTATGAATTCTAAACCTTATTAATTCTGTGTTAAAAAATTCTTTATACATGGTAATAAAGAGTATATAATGTATATTGATAACTTGTCTTATGTAAATAGTCTACTGACTTCGAAATGCAACCATTTATCACAGTTTTTCTGTATTACAATATTAGATAATAGTTGTTTTATGCAGTAAGCCAAAGTAGCCTGTATGCAATGTTTGATTCTGTTTGGGTTTTTTGTTTGCTTTTGCAAAGAATGTTAAATTTTGTTGTTCCATATCGGTGCAAATATATTCCAACCTATGGTTACTAAATATACATAATATATTTGAAAAGGAAAAGTTTTCCAGACGTTTCTTTGAAAAATAAGTTCTTGATTTTCCTTCCCTCATTTAGGTCAAAGTTGGAAATTGCAATACTCCTAAACCAAGCTTCTTTGATTTTGAAGGAAAGCAAAAATGGTAAGAAATTCTTGGGATCTTTAATGAGGTTGTTGGAAATGGTTTAGGTGTTTAGGAATTAGAAAGCAGTGAGCTGATTAAAGAATTATTTTTATATTAATCTCTCTCTGCTGTAGACTGTACTAATAACAGGCAATTGGGAGAGAGATTAAAGAAATCTACTTTTAGCTAAGTCTCCTGAAGGATTCTTAGGCTAGCATGTTGGAATATAAGTGGTTCACAACAGACATACATGCCTCACATTTTAATACATAAGAGAGTAACCATGAGAGCTATTGCTTGAGATTTTCCTTTCCTGTCATTCAGCTCCTAATGGATCACCGCTTCTCCCCTCTGGAGGGATTTTTGGAAGAAGGCCAGAATGATGGGAAGGGCCGAACAGCAGGATACATCCCCATTTTTCATCCTTCTTCCCTGTCCCAGTTTCATCTCCCTGTCTTTTGCTACTCTTGTGTTCCTTGCCCCACCCATGCCACAGTAAATAACAGCTTACAGTACTCTTGGGAAGAAGGGAAAAGTTCAGCGAAAGCCAAAACCAGATACTAACTTCTCTTTTTCTCTGAATACATAAAAAAAGAGTATACTTTTGCAAACTTTTTAAACTTACAATCCAGAAGTTCCCTCTTGTCATTTATGAGACCTTGTCTTCTCTTACCTTGTCGAAGTGAAAAAAGAAATTGCATACAACTGGGAATCTTAGTAATAGAAGGGAAGGCTTTGGAGCATCAGCCCTGGAATTAAAAGAAGGTTAGAAGGTAGAGTTAAAAAAGAAAAAAAGATAAAATATGGTTATAGAGAGAGGAAGTGATAAAATACGGGTTCTGACTTTATATTCTAGAGCAGTCCCACATAAAATCTGGTCCCCTATACATTTCCTGCCTGCCAACCGTTTGTTACCCAGCTGTAAGGAGGTACAGAGCTTGAACCCAGATGTAAATAACTTATGTCACTACCCACACTGTTTAGTTCAGCTGATATTTTTTTATATAGGACAGTCTCAGTGAAGGAAGCAGTGCATTGATTATATTTTTGCACAAGTTTTTTGGTTGATGATAACCAACAGTTCTCTGGCATTTTATTACTGTTCTAAAGAATACCTGATGTTAACGTTTACAGTGAGTTTTTTGTCATAATTTATGAAATTTTATAGCTTCATTTTTTTTCTGTGCTCTACCTGTTTCTCCATTGTTTTTAGCAATTAAAAAAATTTAGATTTTATAGCCACCATAATAATTGTTTAGGCAAGATATTAGATGACAAAATATTCTGGAACTATTGGAGAAAAAACTATTGAGGAAAACTGTTGTTAAAATGCTAGGTGAAAAACTATTGGGGAGCAAAACCATGGGTTACAGGCTGACCCACCATTTACTTTTTTTTTTTTTTTTTTGAGACGGAGTGTTGCTCTGTGCCCCAGGCTGGAGTGCAGTGGCGCGATCTTGGCTCACTGCAAGCTCCGCTCCCCCGGGTTCACGCCATTCTCCTGCCTCAGCCTCCCGAGTAGCTGGGACTACAGGCGCCCGCCACCTCGCCCGGCTAATTTTCTTGTATTTTTAGTAGAGACGGGGTTTCACCGTGTTAGCCAGGATGGTCTCGATCTCCTGACCTTATGATCCGCCCGTCTCGGCCTCCCAAAGTGCTGGGATTACAGGCTTGAGCCACCGCGCCCGGCCCACCATTTACTTTTTAATTATGAGGGAGAAACCTGACAGATACTGCCGTTACCAAGCCATGAATCTTATTGATGATGGGGCAGACTGACATCACGTGCCCCCAGTGTGATGCGTTCAAAAGGGCATGTCACCTATATATTACTCTGCTGAAATAATTTAACCCAATTCTAATTATGATGAATCATTTCTGGCAAGAACACTATGTAGGTAAGGAAACAATTAGACAAATTCAAATTGGGAGATATTTTATAAAACAGTTGGACTCTTAAAAAATACCAACAATATGGAAGACAAAAAAGCTGACGATACATGAAACTCAATCCTGTGTGTGGATCTTGATTGGTTCCTGGTGTGGGAGAAGAAAGCCATAAAGGACGTTATTGGGACAATCAGGAAAATCTGAATGTATGGCCTCTATATTATATAATAGTATTGATGATAAATTTTCTGAGTTTGTGTAGGCTGATCTATTTAGGGATGAAGTGTTATGATACATACAAGTAATTCTCAAGGAATTCAGTGAAAATAAATTTAGAAAACCTCAGAAAGATGTTATATTCATCATAGAAGCAGGAAGGTAGTGAAAAAAAATGTGGGATTGAGTTCTGTTTGACAGCAAATCAGGGAAATCGAGAAACCCTCGTTGGAATTAGAAAGAATTGGCAGGGAAAAACCAAGAAGGAGGCCTGTCCTGGCAGCCTGCAGAGGGTGGGGGAAAAAAAATGATTCAAAAGGAAGCTCAGGACTAAAATGTTGCTTTTGCCATTTATATTGTAGGAAGTCCCTAACTTACTCATTAGGGTTCTTTAGTTGTTGTTTTTGCTTTTTGCTTTTTTTTTTGAGACAGAATTTTGCTCTGTTGCCCAGGCTGGAGTGTGGTGGTGCCATCTCAGCTTACTGCAACCTTTGCTTCCCAGGTTCAAGCAGTTCTCCTGCCTCGGCCTCCAGAGTAGCTGGACTACAGGCGCACACCACCATGCCCGGCTAATTTTTGTATTTTTAGTAGAGATGGGGTTTCACCATCTTGGCCAGGCTGGTCTCAAACTCCTGACCTCAGGCGTTCTACCTGCCTTGGCCTCCCAAAGTGCTGGAATTACAGGCATGAGCCACCGCGCCTGGCCAGTGTTCTTGTTTCTGCCCTCACCATCCCTGACTTTTGAAGTCCCAGACTGAGTTCCTAGGATCAGTTACTAGTAACTTATAGGTGAGGTAAGAGCAGAAAGGGAAGGTGGATTTCTTGTATCTTAGTAAGAAGTTTGATGCATTTTCCTTGGGAGTATTGTTTTTTATGTGATGATTAGTTTCTGTATGACCAAAATCCCATAAGCACAGTTAATTTATGATAATAATCTGTATTAGTCTGTGGAGCATACATCTGCAATAGGGGTGAAAATTGGTTTGAGGAAGTTATAAAATCTTAGATTACAGTGGTTTGTGGTTTTCCAAAATTTAATAGATATGCAGTGTATCTGTGTTTTTAAAATTTCATAGGGGAGGGTGATTAGGAAAAAAAAAATGTCTGAAAAGGCTTCTTAGGTAGGGCAATAAGGTCTGTATAGCTCTAGACCAATGTAAATGCAAAAAGACAGAACTTCTGTATCCATAACTTATTATCTCTATATTCCGAGACCCTTGAAATGTGCGTGCAATTTTTTTTAATAATAAGAAAAATGCTATTTGTGTTATTTGCATAATGACAGGCCATTTTGGATATTCCATATTGTAGGGAAGCATGGAAAGCACTTGGTGATTCAAGCCCCAGCCAAGCAATGCGGGAATATATTGCAGTAGTTAAAAAACTAGATCCAGGTTGGAATCCTCAGGTAAGACTTAATGATTATAAATAATACTTCCCAAAAACTTGTGATCCTTCTCTGAAATAAATGTCTAAAACTAAGCTTAGTTTTAAGTAACATGCTTAAAGTTTTACTTTCTTGAAATATTATAAAGTTATTGTAATATTTATCTAATAAAATAATTGCTAGCCGGTAATCCCAGCACTCTGGGAGGCCAAGCCAGGTGGTTCACCTGAGGTTCAAGACCGGCCTGGCCAACATGGTGAAACCTTGTCTCTACTAAAAATACAAAAATTAGCCAGATGTGGTGGTACACACATGTAATCCCAGCTACTCTGGAAGCTGAGGCTGGAGAATTGATTGAACCTGGGAGGCTAAGGCTGCAGTGAGCCAAAATCAGGCCACTGCACTCCAGCCTGGGCAACACTGCGAGACTCTGTCTCAGAAAAATAAAAAAAATTAATAATACTTAAATAGTAACATAACCAGCTACTGATGCTGAGAACTTCTCTGAGTTGCAGAGTTTTTGAAAGCAGAAGAATTTGAATTACATAAGAATTGGAAAGAGTTTAACTTGAGATTATCATGCTGGAAAAAACGTTACTCTTGGATTTCTTTTTTATGATCACCTTCTATGCAAGGGCAAAATGCTTCTTATTAGGGATAAAAGATAAATAAGACATGATTTCTGCCATTGTATAGTTTAAAGTGTAAGAGAGAAGGTAAAACATATCAATATATATAATCTTTAATAGTATAAAACGATAATAATGTAAATGTTAGGGAATCCAGCAGGAAAAGAGATTGCTTTGGACTTTGGAAGCATTAGATATTGTTCACTTAAATATACCCTGTTTTTCTCATATACTTATTGGAGAACATCTAGAAAAAATTTAATAAAGGTGAGGTCACTATTTAAGAATATTGTTAAATCATTAACAGGTATTTCAGTGAGATAGAGGTTGCACTGTACCACGTAAAACATGCAAATTGAATTTTTTTCAATAAAAACAATTAGGCCAAACATTTTAGCAGTTAATGAATTAAACAATTTTCAATGTTTTTGTAATAATTACATGGGTACATAGTTGTTACTGGTATGAAGGAATTTGTTCCATTAATCATGGAATCTTAAAAATCTCAGACTTGTTAGGAACTTTAAAAGATTATATATTATGACATGTTAAAAATGTATCTTAAGAGTAAAAAATGGAAGAGATAACCAACTTTGGATATCTTTAATGATATGACTGCCTTTTAGAAGTCATTGAAAAATTTCCTTCTTTTTTTTTTTTTTTTTTTGAGACAGGGTCTCTCTCTATCAGCCAGGCTGGGGAACACAGTGGTAGGATCTTGGCTCAATATAACCTCCACCTCCCAGGTTCAAGTGATTCTTCCACTTCAGCCTCTGGGACTACAGGTGTGCACCACTACACCTGACTAATTTTTTTATTAAATTTTTTTTTTTTTTTTTTTTTAAGTAGAGATAGGGTTTTGCCATGTTGGCCAGGCTGGTCTTGAACTCCTGACCTCATGTGATCCACCCGCCTCAGCCTCCCAAAGTGCTGGGATTATAGGCATGAGAAATTTCCTTATGTTTCTGATGTGCATGAGTCTTCATTTTCAGAAATTTTCTATTTTTTACAAGACCAAATATGCATACAAGTATATATCTCAAGGTTCTGAGGGCTTAAAATCTGAAAATCAGTGGTCAAAACAGGTGCCCCCTGAGCTGAACTCAGCCTAAACAACTGTTGCACAATGTTTAAAAATGAAACAAAACTTGAATATGAGTGCCTTTAGGCAGAGTATTTTTCAGGTCCAGTCACTGTGTTCTCATCCTTCCCTGTTGATTTATACAACACTATTGCTGATGCTTGGCCTATGAAGGCATTTGAGTTTATAAATTCTGATAAATGACAGAATTTATGATTTCTTACTTTCAGTACTTTAGTAAAATTTCGTTAACTATTACTCTTAAAATGTTTGCAGGCCAGGCGCAGTGGCTCACACCTGTAATCCCAATACTTTGGGAGGCTGAGGCGGGTGGATGATCTGAGGTCAGGAGTTCGAGACTAGCCTGACCAACATGGTGAAACCCTGTCTCTACTAAAAAATGCAAAAATTAGCCAGCCATGGTGGCGGGCGCCTGTAGTCCCAACTACTCGGGAGGCTGAGGCAGGAGAATCGCTTGAACCCGGGAGGCAGAAGTTGCAGTGAGCCGAGATGTGCCATTGCACTCCAGCCTGGGCAACAGAGCAAGACTCTGTCTCAAAAAAAAAGGCTTGCAGATTCCAAACAGGTGTTAAGGATGCTTTTTAAAAGTGTCTAAATCTAACCTATTGAGCATATACTTGAGTAAACCAAGCAGAACCAAAGGCACTTTCATATTCTTTAATTAATTATTTAATACATTAAATAATAAACTTTAAAAAATTAATATATTATTTAATACATTGAATAACATTAAGATATATATAACATTATTCTAAAAGTATTTTAACATTGGAATCCAGTTGTAAGGAGGAATTTTGTGTTTTATTTACATTTTAGTTTTTAGTTCAAACACTCTAAGCTGGTCCCCTTTGACTCATAGCTTTTTTTTTTGTCTTTTAAACTGTTGGGAGGCAGATCATAACCTCCATCTCAGAAGAGATTTGTCATTTAGTTCATTATCTTTTAGGTTAAAAATTTTCTTTTGATATTCTAAAAAAAATAATAAGGACAACACTCATTCTGAATGTGCTGAGTTCTTTTTTTTTTTTTTTTTTGAGATGGAGTCTCTATCACCCAGGCTGGAGGGCAGTGGCACAATCTCAGCTTACTGCAACCTCCACCTCCCAGGTTCAAACAATTCTTCTGCCTCAGCCTCCTGAATAGCTGGGATTACAGGTGTGAACCACTGCACCTGGCCTGAATGTGCTGCGTTCTTTACATGTATTGTCTTTTGATATCTTCACAAAAAGTCTTCACAGTTAGAAACTACCATAATCTACATTTTAAAAATGAGGAAATTCAGGCACAGAGAGATTTAGTAACTTACCTAAAATTAGCCAGCTAAGGCCAGGTGTGGTGGCTCACTCCTATAATTCCAACACTTAGGGAGACTGAGGCAGGAGAATCACTTGAGGCAAGGAGTTTGAGAGCAGCCTGGGCAACAAAGCAAGACCCCATCTCTATTTTTAAAAAAAACAAAAACAAAAAAATTAGCCAGGCACGGTGGTGTTGCATTATGGCTGTAACTTTCGTAGTTTAAGGTGGGACAGGAAAACTAGCACAAGTTTTTTTTTCTTTCACAATTTCTTGGATAGAAGATTTGTTCTTACTGTTGATCTTAGTAACCTCAGCATATGATGTTTTTCTTTCCTTAAGTTGAGAACTTTTACCTTTTCACCTAAAGGAAGCAATTTATGGCTTTTCTTTGGCATACTGAATTGCCAGTATCACTACTCTTGTACTTTGGGGCCATTATTAAGTAAAATAATGGTTACTTGAACACAAACATGGTACTGCAACAGTCGACAGTCGATCTGATAACCTTGAAGGGAACTAAGTGACTAATGGGCAGGTAGCATATACAGTGTGACTATACTGGCTAGACAAAAGGATGCTTTATGTTCTAGGTGGGATGGAGTGAGTTGGAGTGGAGGGCGTGAGATGGTGTGAAATTTCATCACACTGCCCAGAATGGTGCACAGTTTAAAACTTAGGAATGGTTTATTTCTGGAATTTTCCACTTAATATTTTGGATTGGCAGTGGGTAACTGAAACCATGGAAAGTGAAACTGTGGATAAAGGAGGGCTACTGTGTAAGTATACTATAATGATCAAAATGAGGAATTTTAACATTGATTTAGTATTGTCAAGTCTATAGTCCATATTCAAATTTATCGTTATAATGATAATGTTCTTAATAATGCCCTTCAAAGTTATTCTTCAAATGCTGATCCATCTTCTAATGCAGGGTCATGCGTTGTATTTAATTGTCATGTATCTTTAGTCTCCTCTAATGGAGCAGTTTCTCAGCCATTTTTTTTCCTTTCTTGCCCATGATACTTTTGCAGATTACAGGCCAGTTGTTTTGTAGAATGTCCCTTATTTTGGGTTTGCCTGATGTTTCCTTATAATTACATTTAGATTATACATTTTTAGGAAGAATAGCACGCAGTTGTGTCCTCCTCAATACATCATACCAGGAGGTACATGATATCTGTTTGTCCCAATATTGGGATGTTAACTTTGATCACTTGGGAAAGGTGATGTCTGCCAGACTTCTGTACTGTGAAGTTCCTATTTTTCCCTTTGTGATTAATGGGAAGTTAATTCCTTTTGTAATTAATTAATGAGTACTTTGTGGGGAAACAGTTTGAGACTATGTAAATATCCTTTTCCTAGTCAGATTTCACCCACTAGTTTTAATATTTGTGAATTATTTTTAACTCCATAATTTTGCCTTCATTTATTATTTAGCATTCTACTGTAAGGATGGACTTTCCCTTTCTGCCCATTTGTTCATTGTCGAGAACTTTCCTCCCATTTTTAAAATTTATTCATTGTCAAGAACTGTGAAAGATCTGAGATTTTACTCTACCTGGAAGCTGGTCAGTTAGCCTGTTACTGTTTCTTAGATGCTGGCAGAAAGCATAAGACTCTTGGGTCAGAGCCAAAGAACTTTATTATTCATGGCATCACAAACTGTATGAGCTTCATTTGGTTTGCATTGATTTTTTTGTGTTCCTCAAATCCCACAGGGATGACGCAGGTGGTCCTAGCTGGATTCTTACATATGCAGTGTATTGTGCTATAGGGAAGGAGCACTGAGCTATGGGGATTGACCACTTTTTTAGCAGGTGGAAGCAAACCTGATTGTTGTCAGGGGATGGAGATACATTACCTCATCCCTGAAGATGGCTTCCTGCATACACAGGAAGAAATGGCCCAGGTAAAGAATGGTCAGGGCCTGGCCTATTGAGCAAGAATGTGTTGGGACACTCAGGGCTCATGGTAGATTGCCTCACTCAACATTC